CGCACACTTCATGCGAAAGATGCTATGTCTTAGCCAGGGTTGATCACATGTTGGTTCTGATTGTAAAACTCGTTGTATGACTAGCAATTCGCCTTCATCCTCTGGGAGCTGAAGTGCTTCATCGGAATTTTCTTTTGGTACCTCATCCTCGCTTTCCTCCATGCCTCCTTGGTTTGTAAAAGAGATAATTCGGCTTGTGGGACAGCTGGAGTTGATGTGTTCGAAACTGTGACATCTGAAACACTTTTTGGCTGTCATTGGGATGAGCTTCCCCTCTGGAGTTTCTTACTTGGTCGGTTTTTGTATTCCCGGATGTTGGTTTCCTCGTTCCTGGTGAGTCTTTATTGGTATTTGTCGTTGTTGGGGTTTGTTTGTATGAGGATTGTTGTCGGAAGGAAGACTGTGGTCTAATCTGCTTTTGTTGTCTTTCAAGTTTCAGGGCTAAGATTTGGACATCACCCAACGACCAATAGGGTTGTAGTTGAACTACGTTGCTAATGGCTGGCGTCAGGCCTCTGATATAGCGGACGTTGGTGTGCTCCTCTTGTTCGACCAAGTTGTACCTTATTTGTAATTGGTCGAATTTGGTTGTGAATTCCTCAACCGTCATCTCTCTCTCTCTCCTATAGGTTGTGGAGCTTCAGGAACATATTTTGGCGGTAGTGTGGTGGCATGTGTTTCCGCAGTAGTGCTTTTTTTCATTTTTTTCCCACTTTGTGATTTTTTCGATGTCATCTCTCATTCGTTTGACGTTGTAAGTTCTCCCATCATAACGAGGCATGCTTTTTGTAGTTTAACAGCTGCTAGTTTGACTTGCTTATCTTCAGGTATCTCCTTATATTTGAAAGTTAGTTCGACCACTCTCAATCAGTTAAGGAATTTATCTGGATCCATAAATCTGTCAAAATCGGGGAGATTTATTTTAATGCCAAATTATCGATGGCTTCTGGGTTCTTTATGTGGTCGCCTCTGGTAGTGGATTCCAAAACGGCGTGGACGGTATTCATTGTCACTGTTATTATTTTTGTGGAACGGATTAAGGTCATCATTCTTGTCTTTCTGTCGAATTTCTAGGTCACGATCGAGGGTGACTTCGCCTTGGGTTCACTCATCGAGTTCTGCCAATTGTTGTTGTGGACGGCGGATTTCACGTTGGATCGCATTCTAGGCGTTGCCCGGTATGTTTCTCCCGGAGGGGCCATAGTTGATGGTTTGGACAAGAAGGAGACAAGTAGATTGGGGAAAAAGGAAGAGGATAAGAAGAATTGACGAATAGAAAGAAGAGAGTACAAAAAGGAAAAAAAAAAGAAAAGAGGGGTGGGGGGGGGGGGGGGGGGGGGGGGGGGAGATTTTGGCTTGGATAGAGTGCGGATGCTAGGGATTCCTAGGATAGGACTCGGCTTGGGCTAGCTCTGATACCAAATGATATTGGAGTTAACCCAAACCACAACACATGACACAAATTTATTTACAATAATAAATTAAAAGAAAGAAAGACACCACATAAATCAAAATATAAAGCAAAACATTAAAATCAAACCCAAAAGACAAAACAAGCTCGACGATGAGGGAGTCTAGAGAAATGGGGCTTGAGCGGCTGTTGCGGTGAAGGTCGGAGTGCTATCGTGTGACTAGGGAGAAACGGGACAACAAGTTAGCATTTGTCGAGGCGATGAACCACGGTCGGAAGAAGTGTCGTCAAAGGTTGGAATCCGGAGGCGGCAAGGATGGAGGCCGAAGCCGAGGAGCGGAGGCACTGACGGTGGCCAAAGCTGTGGAGTGGAGGCAGAGGAAGGTCGTGAACTGCAAGAAGGGAGGAGGCAGCGGCTGGAGGCGCTGGGAAGGCCTGACAGAGATTGCAGCTTGCTGTGAGTGAGGCGGCAAGTGGCTGCAAATTGTAGGTGGGAAGTGCTGCAGTGGAGGAGGCAACAACTGAAGGTGTTGGGATGTTCTGACGAAGGCTGCGACTTGTTGTGAGTGAAGCGGCAAGTGGCTGTGGACTACAGGTGGGAGTGTTGTAGTGGAGGGAGGCGCTGGTTGATCCAGAGGGGGACTGCGGCCTGCTGCGGGAGACTTGGTAGGGGCTGGGATGGCCTGCAAGGAAGCTGCTAGGGAGCTGTCGGCAATCAGGAAGGGTAGCAGTGGCTTCGGCAATTTGTAGAGGGGCTGTAGAGGACTGGCGGTACTTAGGGAGGGGAGCTAGAGGTGCGGCTCTCTGCTGGGAGGTTGCAGGCAGACTGACGGTAACCTGCAGAGAGGCTGCAGGAGGAGTGGCGGTGCTTTGGGAGGGTAGAAGGGAGGCAAGGAAGCTGCCGGCTTGAGTGTTGGAAGGGCTGGAACATCGACAAGCTGCAAGACAACGGGTAGTAGTTGGAACGGAGAAGATAAGCACCACCCCGGATGGGGTTATAACCGGAGCACCTTCCTTGTCGTCAGATACATCCCTCAAGAGTGAAAACACTCAAGTAAAATTGAATTCAAATTTCAAAATCAAGACCCCTACTCTAAACCCTTCAACTTCTATTTATAAAAAATTCTTGACCTTAATTTAGGAAACATTTAAATTAAGAAAGTAGAATAAAAATAAAATCAAGATCTCAGATTTTAGGAAATCTTTAGATTAGGGAAGGAGAATAAAATCAAGATTTAGGCTTTTAGGAAAGGATTTAAATAAAGCCTAGGAGGGAAAATAGGAAGAGGAAGAAATGAAAGAAAAGGGAGAGAGAAAAAGGAAAGGAAAACGCAGTAAGAAGGGGGCGATGGGGTACCCTCCAAGAGGGCCGACAGGTCCGGTTGGCCTAGACCTGCGCCTAGCCAATCCTCCATGAGCCCAACGTCAATGATATTCTGAGGGAGAGGTTTGAGAATGTCAAAGATTTTAATGCCAACCTTAGATCGATCTTACCTAAGCTAATTAAAATTGTTCTCAAGTTGATTAGTACTAATCGGCATTGAGTGAACCTAAATTCAACATATAATCATCTCTCAATCAAAATATTTTGAAGAGCTATTCAATCATCTATTTACAAAATTGTGACGAAAATGGCTAGTTATATGTACTCTATGCAATTATGCTTGCGTGTAATTGATTTCTGCACTTTGAAGAGGCCTATGGTTTGCCAACTTGTCCACAGTGATGTACCGCCCTATCTACCATCTAAGTTGACCTCTAAAATTAATAACTCCCTTCAAGTTGTAGAATAGATGTTCTTCATGCCCAAGGTGAAGACGATATTATGAAATATTGAGTATGATAGTCCTGTTATTAGGATGTCGGCCAACTGCGTGCTTAGTTTGAATATGGGATACATAATAGCCCTTTAGTTTTGTCGTGTTGGATTGGATTGTTTTTGATGTTGATAATTGATTTATTGTTGCAATATAATTTCATTGTATTTACTATTTTATTCTCAAGTCATCTAGGATAATTTTTCATATTTTCTTTGAGTTGTTCGAAATTCAGCTTTAGCACTACATTTGACAATTGCTGATTGTTTCTCACTTCTCTTAGCGATTAGATTCTCACTCAGGAAAGTCTAGTAACTAATAGTAGGTCTTCAATCTATGAGTGGTCTTGCTCAACCAGCATATGTATATACTTCTACTTTGAGCCTTCTATTTCTTTTAAATAAGCTTCATTTTCTGTGTTACATTGAGATACTGGAAAGTTCTATTGTTTTATATGTTTGTTGTGGATTATTATACATAATTAATTTATGAAACTTATAATAGAGGCTACATATGATCTTGTATGAACAAGATTGATAATTTTCTGGTAGTAAATTGGAATTTTTGAGGATCTACATGACATCATAGTGGTTTAAGATGTATTTTTATCAAGAGATGAATAACCTAGCTTTTGATGTGCTACTTCAATTATAAGGAAATATTCGAGTATTTTAGATCTATCACTTCAAAATTCTTGCGTAGTTGATCTTTCACTTTTTTTTATTTCTTTGAGATTATCTCATTTTATGATCATGTCTACACATACACTATGAGAACTATAATTTTAGTCTTTGTTTGATCCTTTATGAGTAGAGTGTGATCTCTGGGGCATTTTTCGAAGTTGACTTTTTCCAAGGATTGGTAAGTTTTTGTCTTCTTGATAAGAAAGCTGGTACATATTTCCCTTTATCGAGAAGTCGAGCCGCGAAACTTTCGATTGGGAAATTGATCTTCTCTTTGAATGGGAAGTCAGATCTTGATTTGAAAATATTTGCACGACCTCCATTATCATTATCTACACATGAAATGTACTTGTCAAAGTTGTCACATAGAAAGCTATTTGTCTTGATAAAAGGACTTTATGGAGCTAATCTGGGAACATTAAATTAGCTACTAACACTGATATGGTTTTCACTGGATCAAAAAGAATATGGCACCAACAATAGTTTTGATCCCAATTGGTAGCACAAAACCTCTCGACATTCATAATTGAAAGTGCTCTCTCGATCCGGAGTGGAAATTATGTAATGAAACTTTTGCTCTCAAGTCAAAACTAAATAAACATATTATGGTAAACTAAACTTCTTACATTTCTACCACCCAAATGTTTCATACCAAATCAAATATACCTCTATTTTAACTTCTAAAAAGTTGAATACACCTTTTCAAGCATAGATGAAGATTTACATACGTACCACGCAATTCATATGTATTTAAATATCTATGTATTTAAATATCTAACAAATATCTAACACCTAAACTTTCATATGGACATACACAACATTCAAATATTTGATATCACATAAAAACCAGCACTTTCATCATCTTCAAAAAAGTGAAAAACATCTTTTCATGTATATGTTTATGACACCTAAGTGTTATAAATATTAATATGAAACTTTACATGTTAAATATGTAAATACATAAGAATTCAGTGTTATTTATGTAAATTTCCTTTTTTTTTGGTAAAATATAATTAATTTACTTTGCCTGCAACTTTGCTCTTCCAGCTTGATTGCGAAGACCTGAAATGTCTAAATGCTATTTCTCAGGGCCTGATGACATGCCGGCACACATTAAATCATCAATGTTTGGTTGCGCTCTCACGTATGTTATTGAATTTTTCTCTACAGCTTTTCATCAATTTCTTCCAAACACTATATATTGAATATACCTGCTTTGTTTACAGTATTCCAATTACCAACGGTCGATTAAATATGGGAACTTGGCAGGTGATTTCTATTTCTTCTCAATCCTTATAACATTTAGTTGTGCATCTAACTTACGCCCAAGTACATTGTTTTGTTGTAGTTATTTTTTGTTTGGAAGATTTACATACATACCACTTAATTCTTATGTAATTACATACCTAACCCCTAAACTTCTATTTTAACACATCATCTCACCTATGCATGAAAATGTGTAAAAAAGTGATATTTTTTATGTGATTTGAATTATTTGGGTGGTATAAATCCAAAAAGTAGAGTTCAGGTGTTGCATATGTCAATACAAAGGAATTAACATCCAATCAACAACTTGTGTGTTTCAAAAAGCACACGATTCAGATATTTTCTGTTTCTAAAATTGATGCATTTTGAAAACATTCATCTACATGTTTTACGATTGTTCGTCTCATGTGTTGTTAGGGCATTTGGTTGTGTGAGCATCGCGACCATGGGACGCCTCGACGGATTGTAATTACTCTTAATGGTATTTAGGTGGAAAGAACATTGGATCATGGAGGTCATGGAAGCTCATTAGGTGATACCCACTAACTCTACCATGCTATGATCTAAGAGATACATAGAATATCAAATTGAAGTTAAAACCAACCTTCTTTTTTTGTTTCTTGTTCATGTTTGATTTGTATTATGTAATATTTATTATTTATTTTTCTTGTATTTTGTTTGTTATTAATTGGCTTGTTTATGGATATAAGAAAGCAACATTTAATGTCATATAATTCTATTTCATTGCAGTTTAATTTGATATTTATATCAAGGAAACAAACACAGTCATGAGAAGCTTTGTTTGTAGTTGGTTCATTGAGAATCAGATTTAAATGTTATGTTAATGTCTCAAATGTTAGTTGTATATCAAGTCTAATACCAATCAGATTTAAAAGTTACCTCAATGTTTGAATTATTAATTATATAACGAATCAAATATCAATGTTTAATGAAATGACTGTGTGATGCAATTTTGCTTAATGAAATCAATACGAGTTGTTCGCAAACATCGAACTAAAAAGGCGCATCTGCTTGTGATATTGAATTTTCAAACAAATTAACATACTCAATTGTTATGATTGACATTATTCACAATGATTTGTTTTGAAACTTTATTCAATACATGGAAAGCTATTTATATTAACACTATTGATAAAGATTTTAGATTTATATGTTTTGATAGGCATGAAGGTGACATTTATTAACAATGTGGACCAAAATTTCTGAGATGGTGTTCAAATTTTTATAGGACATGGAAGCAAATTTATGTATATAAATTTTTCTATTTGAATGTGCTAATGAAAAATTCTAATGATTAATTAAAAAAAATTGACTAATGACATAATTAGCTCGCATTAACCATGAGATTTATACATAGGTTATGATTCATGATGTAAGAAGACATTATCAACAACAGAGATTTATGTGCATGTCACACAATTCCTATGTATTTATATATCTAACTCTTAAACTTGATATTTACATGATGCCACTTCACCTTTGCAACAACAAGTGTATATTACTTTTAACAAGGTAGTGATGGTGAATTTCTTAATGTGATAACAAAGATTTGAGTACTAGGAATTATAAAAAAAATTAAAATTTATGTGCTAATTATGCAAGGTGATAAGAATTATTTTAATGTAAAATATTGATAAATTTATTTTTTTGATTGATTCAATTAAATGTTGTACACAATTTTAAATTTCATAATTTTTTTGAGTTATTAATTTTATTTTTATAATATTGTATATAAAAAAAGGTGTTTGCACTCATGTTAAGTAAATTTACATCTAACAGTTAAGAAGAGAAAAGTATAATGAAAACAGACTCGCTGTTATGAGATCGTGAAAACAACATGACTGAATAAGCGAAGCCAACCCGGGCAAAATTGACTAAATCACGAGGCAAACAAGAAGACGTTCGAACGAGTCAAGAAAAGCTGACTTGATTTGATAGCTTAACCCTAATATTGTGGATTCAAAGTGAGATCAAGTTTCATAAATTATCTCAAGCTCCTCGTCAAGGATCGAGGGAAGTCAACCAAGCTAGATTAACCGACCATGTTGATACCTTAAATACGAAGCCAACTAAACTCAGTCGAGTGAGTCATAAAGTAGTCATTATTTTTAGGCTTTATTACTTAGGCATGATTGACTAAAAAATTTAAATTCAACAAATATTAATTTTTTAAAATAAGTTTTCTGAATGGTGATCATTGATTGTTGAAAAGCTGAAAATTATATTTTAAAAAATGATAGAGATTTATTTCATCTATCTTTTTCTTGAATTTAATTAGGTATTGTCAAAATGACGATTTATTTTAACACTTAAAATAAGTGATAAATAAATCGTTACTCATTCAAAGTTTTATTCTATTTAAAGCTCATTTAGCTCCTCGAAGTTTCACTTTTAAAAATAAGGAAATTTATTGTTTCAATTGATATAATTAGATAGCATAATTGATTTTAATTTATTTTTTTTAATTTCTAATAACTAATAATTTTTTTTTATCTTGTAATATATATATATATTATATATATATATCATCATTGTTTATTTTAATACTTCTTTCATTTAAAACATGCAAATGTTATGCACTATTGTATACATAATATACATTAGTACATAATAATGTTATATATAAATTATGTCCATGCAAGAATACAATTTTGGAGTTAACTGAAAATACATTTGTACCCTTGGCATCGTGTCAATGACAAAAGACAGCCTAAGGGTATCTCGGCCATTCGGAATCAGCTATAAAAGAAAGGAAGCTTTATTATCCCTCGCTATCGAAACCCTAATTCTTGAGCATCTTAGCGGCTGCATTTGCTCGGAAATCTAACGAAACTCGTTAGCCATGGTGAGTTTCCGATCCTTTATCTATGGCTGATCTTCTTTGCAGTCCTTTGCACTGTTAACCCCTTCCTTAATGGCTGCAACGCTTTCTTTGGTTGCGCAGGCGGATATCTCGGATGCTGTGGATGTAGGCGGAGCGCAGCCAAAGAAGAGAACTTTCAGGAAGTTCTCATACAGAGGTGTTGATCTTGACCAACTTCTCGATATGGGCACCGATGAGCTCGTCAAGCTCTTCCCTGCCCGCGCTCGTAGAAGGTTGTAATCCTGGGCTTCCAGTCTTCTGGCATTACTGTGTTTTTTTCTTTCTGGGTGATTTCATGAATATATGGGAAATTTTCTTGCTTTTGTAATTTTAGGTTTCAGCGAGGTCTGAAGAGGAAGCCCATGGCTCTTATCAAGAAGCTTCGCAAGGCGGTATGGTACCTAATACCTTTGTCTATGTTGATTTTTTTCTTTTGGAATTTGTCTACAATCTGCGATTCATCTGTGCCTATTCTCATAATTTGTGGACTTCCTTTGCTAGTCGCTCCATTGAACTTTCTAATTAGATGTAGAAAGTTTGTATTTTTTATCTACTCGATAGTTTTGTACTTCTTTTTTGTGTTTGTTTCTCTTGTTGTTTCCTAGCTTTTGAGGCAGAGAACTTACGCCATTATTGGTTTTGGTACGATGTTAGTCCAATTAATACTTTGTTTGGGAGGTGGTTTGGTGAATCAATACTGTCCAACCTACCAAATTAAAACGGTGCCTATGGATTTTTATACTTCCAAATACTCTTAAGTGGATGGATATCCAAGTTCAGTTCTTAATGTTTGTTAGTTTCATGTATTTGCAGCGGTGTAGCTAAGAAACAGACAAAAATATATGCCATAGGATTGAGTTACATGCCTTTTTTTCTTCGTTGCTTTTCACATTTTATTAATTAATTTGATTAATGACAAATTGCTGTGATATTGTTTGTGAAGATGCTGATGAAAGAGAGAGTGTCTTGAAAATTGCAAGAAGATGGTCAGAAATCTGGTTTTGGATTGTTTTTTGGATAAATTGAAACTGATTAATGGGTTTTCCGGTTTACTGCAAACTGATTACTCTTGCATTTTTTCCCAGGAGTTTTTGAAATTTGGGTGTTTGATCTACAAATTCCAAATGCAGTATAAAATACCATTGGAATCTATTCTCTATTTCATTTTCAATGACTTTAGAATTCACTGGATTTGAGCAAATCTAAAATAAACCACTTTATGTAAAAGTGTTGCATGCCGCCATCGGTTGCCCAATCGACTCCCGCCATCCATCTGCATTTGCCTGCTGCCCTCAGCCGCCACCTTTTACAGTCTACCCTGCCGATCACAACTTGGTGCCCCTCTGCCGCCGCCCATCGCCGGCTGGTGGTCATTACTAACCACCACCTATCAGCCACTTATTTTACATTGATTTTATTTTTTCTCAAACTTTACTAGAATGTGCAAAGTTTTTCATTTAGTTTACATAGCACCAAACAACATCAAGGCATTTCAAATAAATACATTACTTTTACACTGTATAATCCTTTTTACACAGCATTCCTTTTTCCGCAAACCAATAAGCCCTTAAATGCTACTGCCAATTCACTGTTTCTAATTATTATTAGTTTCAACCCATTTGTAGATAAAGCGTGATAGTCCTAAGTTTAGCCTAAATGTGGCCTCCGTTGACCAGGAAATGAAGGTGATAAATTATTAATTATGTATGAGCGTTTGCTCTGGATATCAGACTTGGGCCGTTTTGTTATTCTATGTTAATACTTTATCCGCTAAGTCAAGTGAATATCTCATGTAAAATAGAATATTTGATAGTGTTATTTTTTAGCTAAGCTTTTCAATGGTTCAGTGGATGGATATGTTCAATTGACTCCATTAGCTTGATTTACATATTATCGAACAAGGACATTGAATTGTTTAAGTAATTTATTGGTTTTTAATACAACATTCAATTTTAAAAAATGAGATTTGAACGAAGTGATTACAGCAATGAAACGGTTAGACTAAAAATATCATTCCTTTTTATACTAACAAATCTCTTAAAATTACTATATCAATAATATATGAGTTAGAAAGTTTTTATTTGAATATTTTAAATTTTCTTTAATACATAACACATAATTTAAAAATATATAATATGTACACACATGCAGAGAATTTATAGATATATGTATGTATGCATGCATGCATGCATGCATGTATGTATGTATGTATGTATGTATATATAAGGAGGTGAACGAAGTGTGTATGTATGTATATATCTATGTATATACATATTAAAAAATATATAATATGTATGTATGTATGTCTATCTATCTTCAAATATAGAATTGTTTAAATAATATATTTCTAATTCAACATTCAAGTAGAAAAAATAAGATGTGAACGAAGTGTGTACAGCAATGAAAGGATATTTGAAGATAGACAATAATAATGTTTTTCCTTTTTATACTAATAATTCTCTTTAAAGATCATAGCAATATTATATGAGATAGGAAGTTTTATTTGAATATTGTTTTTTTTTTTTGGTAGATAACACATAATTTAAGAAATATATAATACATATATCTTATATGCGCGCGTGTGTGTACAAATACGCGTTTGTGGGCAATGCATGTGTTCACATATTAATTTTGAATGCAACATTTGTAATATTTTTTCCAGCGTATAAGTAATTGAATTCTAAAACTGTTGCAACTATCAAAAACTGCTTTTACTTGCATACTCCTGGACTTTTAAACTATGACCACAATCTTTCCTGTTATCATTTGTGCTGGAAGGAATGATAGTTATATATATATATATATATATATATATATATTGAATTTAATTATAGTTTTGTTTGGCAAAGCTTTCTATTAATTTGCTGAGGGGTTTTATATTTTCAATTGTTCAGTAAAATTTGTTGCCAACTTTGCTTTGTTCGCTTGAACTGTCTGGAAAAACTATAAAGAAATGTGAAACGTTTAGAAGACAAATATAAATGATTGATTGCGAACAAATGATTTTAATTATACTTATTAATTAATTAAGTTAACAACTATATATCTATGAATACTAATAAAATTGTAGTGCTGAATAAGATTGTGAATAATTTGTGTCAATAACAAGTACTTTTTAATGAAGAAATAAGGTTTGAAGAAAAGGCTCATCGTTGCAGGTCTCTTCTGGGTTTGACTGGATTTGTATATTGATTATTATCTGCATATGCATGTTTTGTGTATGATTAAGTGTTTGTTGCTTGTTGAATTTTTTGATTTACTAGTTATATATGTTTTTTAAAGAGCTGTTGTTTAATTAAAACTGTTAAATAAAAACAAAAAAGTGGTATTTAATTCATATTTTCTGATCAGAATTATTTCTGTTTTTTGGATGGTGCTCTACTAGTTGCATTTTTTTTTATATTGAAAGCAAGTTTTTCTTGCTACTACAGTTATGCGTACAACTAGGTTCCATTTTTGTCTCCCATTATTTTGCTTGATATATATATATATATATATA